GCCATCCCCCCAGGGGTGATTTCTCACTTTCTGTCTCTCTTTGTTTTTCCTGGTGAGCGTATGCGCACTATAGAAGAAAAAAAAACTCAAAAAAGAAAAAATAATAATAATGATCTTGAAGTTCATGCATAACTTTTCTCTCTTTTTTACTCCTAGTTTTTTCATAGGGCACATGCACTTGTCAGAGAAAGAGAGAGAATGGGGGGGAGGGAGGGGGAGAGAGATCACCCTCTGGAGGGATGGCCATGCTGCAGTACACCTCCCCCCGCATTCTCCTCCTAGGTGTTTGCACACACACACACACACACACACACACACACACACACACGTCTAGTATATTTTCCAAGCTGCTGGGTCTGGGACTTGAACCGTTCAGTTGACCATGTAGGATTCGGTCACTTTAACCACCACACTACCTGGATGCTCCAGTGTCTCTCTCTCTCTCTTTTGGCCATAGGGTGTGTGTGCTCACTGGAAAGAGATAGAGACAGGAAAAGTGAGAAATCAGCCCCCAGAGGGGATGGCCATGCTGTAATTCCGTCCCATCCACTGTCCTCCTGGGATTTTGGGACACACACACATAGGTCTGGTGTGATTTTCTTTCTTTTTTTAAAAAATTTATTTTATTTTTTTACAATTTGTTGAACTAATCACTACACCTCATTTGGCTTGTAAAGAGAACTCAGCAACATGAAACACATCTTAGGCTACGATACACGTCATCAGCAGCAGGTGATAAAGCATCTCTGTGCCTCTCTATTTTTTCTCCCTGATTTCCTTCCCTGTGCTCCTCCCCTCTCCCACCCTCCTTCCACACTGTCTCCAGTGTCCATGACGAAAAAATAGGAAATGCTTCGCAGATTCGCGCGTCACCCCTGTGCAGGGGCCATGCTAAACTCTGTATTGTTCCGGTTTAGCGTATGTGCTGCCCAAGCGAGCATTGTCTAGTGATTTTCAAGCCGCCAGGTCTGGGATTCGAACCACCGTTGGCCATGTGGGAGTCCAGCACCTTAACCATGCCACCTGCTGGTGCTCGTTTTTCTGTTTTATAAAAAATTTTCTTTTTAAGGAATTATGCATTTTATTTTATTTATTATTATTCCTCAATTTAACCAGAGAGACCGAGAAGAGAGAGAGAGAATGAGGGTGAGAAAGCAAGCTGCTAGGTCCAAGACTCGATCCATGACTCATATGGGCGTCCAGCACCTTAACCGCCATGCCACCTGCTGGCCCCTAAAAAGTTTATTTTTATTATTTACTGTTTCTGTGAACGAGAGACGGAGTGAATAGAGCGAGAGACAGACCACCCTCAATGGAATCCGGAGCTGGGCTCTGTCTCAGCCTGCATCTGACCCCAGATCACATGCACATGTGTCTGACAGGCTCAGGGAGGTCTCTGGACTTGAACCAGCAACCTCCCCATGTGGGATTGCCTCCTGGAGTGTTGCGTTTTATTCTGCACTACCATCTGGCCTCCGTAATGTTTTCATAATAGACATCCTGTTAGGGATTTTTTTTAAGGCTTTGCCATAGGGTGCGTGTGCTCACCAGAAAGAGAGGGAGAGAGAGGAAGAATAAAAAATCAGCCCCCAGTGGGGATGGCCGTGCTGCAGTCCTGTCTCCATTCTCCTAGGATTGGCGCATGCGTGTACACATACCCGGCATGATTTTCAAGCCGCCAAGTCCTAGACTCGAACCTCAGTTGGTCCAGTGCCTTAACCACTATGCCACCTGCTGGCCCCAGTTCAAACTTGTGAAGATCCCTAGTATTTGGCCTTTTGACCGCCTGGTTTCTGCTCTAGCTCGGCCACTCACGAGCTCAGGCAAGCTTCCTGTCGCTCCTTTCTCAGTGTCCTCTGTGATCGGGCAGGGACTGCTCTACCTCATGGTTGTAGGTGGGGTTACGTCTGAGTCCCCACAGGCAAGCTCCAACAGTGTCTGGTTCAGAGAAGATGCCAGAGCGCCGTTCCTCGTCATCCCCACCATTGCTTTCCCGCCTCGAAGCATCTCCCGGGCCAGCGTGGTGCGAGGGAGGTCGGGCCTGCCAGGGCTTCCCTAAGGGTTGGCCCCAACTTCTTGAATCAGCAGGTGCTGCCTCCCAGCTTTTTCCGACCCAGGACTGCACCTAGCGCTGCTTCTCTGCTCGGTGGCAGGGCCTACCATGGGAGGCCTGCGAGGCCTCAGTCACCTGGGAAGGCCTGACTGTGCCAGGCCCCGGGTGGGCTGTTTTCTTTTTCTTTTTTTTTTTTCTGCGGGATCGGGGGAGGCTATAGGGCATGTGCAGGAGACAGAGGGAGACAGGGAGAGGGAAAATGAAAAATCACCCCCTGGAGGGATGGCCAGCAATCCCTTCTCCATTCTCTTCTCAGGAGCTGGGTCTGGGACTTGAACCTCATAGTTGTCCATGTGGGATCCAACCACCTTAAATTAACCCTCATGCCATCTGCTGGCCCCACAAGTAGGTTTTTTTGTTTGTTTGTTTGTTTGTTTTTTGTTTTGTTTTGCTATAAGGCACGTGTGTTCACCAGAAAGACAGAGAGAGCCAGAGAGACAGAAAGTAAGAAATCACCCCCCAGGGGGGATGGCCACGCCGCAATCCCTTCTCCTCTCAGGATCTTGGGCACACACACACACACACACGTGCCCAAAGTGAGTTTAAGCCACCAGGTCCAGGACTCGAACTGCGGTCGACTACGTGGGAGTTCAGCGACGTATACATTGCGCTATGTGCTGGTCCCCACAAGTGTTTTCTGATCGAGGCATCCTCTGTTGCCAGAGGCTGCTAGACTGTCTGTGTGCTTTTAGGCCGGTCCCTCAAGCTCTCTGAGCTGTTTCCTAACTTATCAAATGACAAAAATAATAGTATCTATTTCATGGTTTGTTTTGTTTTTCTTCCAATGTTTATTTGCTTATCTTTTCTGAGAGACAGACAGAGAGAGGCACCCCAACAGGGCGTTCATACTGTGACCTGCCCCCCCACCCCCAGCCAGCTGGCTCATGGCACAGGTGCATTCCTGGCATGCACACGGAGGCCTTGGGACTCGAACCCTGGGCCTTTCCATGGGACTGGTGCTGCATAGCGCTAAACTACGACTGTTGACATCTGGCTCTTGTTGGCTTTCTTTTTTAAAGTTCATTCTGAGTACACGAGACGAGACAGCACCCCCAGCGGGGTCCTGATGCTGCAGTAGCCCCCAGCCTGGCCAGCCCGGGGGCAGGCACGTGTATGCCTGATGTACTCAAGGAGGGCCCCAGACACAGACTGGAGCCTCGCCCTGGGGGTCAGTCCTGCAGGGCCGTGTTTTCCCTCCGCCTCACCGGGACCTAGTTTTGTTTCAGGAGGATTCAATGAGATACGGCCTCTGAAGCGCTAAGCCTGGACAGGGCACATAGTAGGCTGCTTAATAAATACTGCTTACTGGGGCCGGCAGGTGGTGTGGTGGCTAAGGTGCTGGAACCCCACATGGCTGACCACGGTTCGAGTCCTGGAACGGGTGGCTTGCTTTCTCACTTTCCCTCTCTCTCCTTCCCCATCTCTCGCTGATCAGATTAAAATAAATGAATGAATAGATTAAATAATGCTAAAAAATATTTTTTAAAAATATTGCCTATTACTAAAAATGAAATTTCTCAGAAAATGGGGGCCAGCAGGTGGAGCAGAGCTTAAGGCTCTGGATCCCACATGGCGGACTGTGTTGTTCAAGTCCCAGCCTGGAGGCTTGAAGATCATGCTAGGAAGGGTCGGCAGGGGGAGCAGAGCTTAAGGCTCTGGATCCCACATGGCGGACTGTGTTGTTCAAGTCCCAGCCTGGAGGCTTGAAGATCATGCTAGGAAGGGTCGGCAGGTGTGTAGTGGTTAAGGTGCTGGATTCCCACGTGGCTGACTGAGGTTCTGTTCGAGTCTCGGATCCGGAGGCTTGAAACTCATGCTGGGTGCGTGTGCGCGTGTGTCCAAAATCTGGAGAGGAGAATGGAGGATAAGGGACTGCAGTGTGTCCATCCCCCCTGGCAGGTGAATCCTCGCTCTCGCTCTCTATCTCTCCAGTGAGCACACACACCCTATAGCAGAAAGCTCTCCGAAAAAAGAAAGAAAAGAAAATCATGCTGGCTATGTGTGCGTGCATGCCCAAAATCCCAAGGAGAGGATGAAGGAGAAAGGATCACAGTGTGGCGATTCCCCCCGAAAGGGATTTCTCACTTTCCCTCTCTCTTTGTCTCTCTTTGGTGAGCAAAAACCAAAGGGAAAAAGAAAAAAAAAAAAAGGAATTGTCAGGAAATGTAAAGTAAAAACCACCTGAAAAACTTCTTCTTGAGTTCTGACCCCCTGAGAGACGTGAAGTGGGGTGGCTCCCGCCGGACCGTCGGACAGAGCATGGCTACCGAGACGGCAGGGCCCGCAGCCCGGAGGAGCTCGGAGCTGGAGCAGGGCCCCCGCTCTGCAATGCAGGCTCGGGAAGCAGAACTGGGTTTCCGCCTGGCACTGTCTGAGGCTTTGGTAGTTATTCCCTCGGCACATACTTCCGGTGATCAGCACTGGGGTGATAGCACTTGGCGGGGATAGACAGCTGAGGTCACATGGGCCTATCTTCTGGAAGCTTCTGGTCTGATAGGGAAGATGAAATTTGTACACGATTACGATAAGAGGTAAAATAATTATCTTCTATTTGAGGGAGAGAGTCACACACTTACTCACTCCAGGGGGCAGTGTGCCAGGCCAAGGAGCCGTGGTTCCCAGTCCGGGATGGCGGCCATGCCTGGAGGCTTTTTTAGAAACATGCATTCATGTTCGAGTGTGTGTGCGCGCATGGAAGCCGGGGAGCTAGCACCCTCCACAGGGCCTCCTCTTCCCCCGTCCTCCGGCCCAGGAGCTCTTGAGCAGCGGCCGTGTGCGCGGAGTGTTTCAGGCTGGCTGGGCCAGGGATTTGAAGCACATCTCCATGTGGGATCTGGCTTCTCTGTGCTGGAGTCCGGCCTGGACCTGGGGACACCATTTGCCATCTCTGCTGGGGAGGTGCCTTGGTGTCTGGTTAGGGGCCAGGGGTGCTGCTGAGCGTGTTGCACACACAGGGTGGCCCCAGGACGGCTGGAGAGACACGGAGCCTGGAGCAGCCTGCCCTAGCCCACTGTGTCCATGGCAGCTAGGGGTTGAGAAGGGCTGCCTTGGAGAAGCCGCCCTGGCCAGGCAGATGCGCCATAGCCCGTGCCCTCCTGACGCATGCACCTGGCCGGTGGGCGGGTATTACAGAACTGACTTCGCAGATGTGGGTGTGGACGTGGGTGTGGATGTGGCGTGAGGTGTGGCCCGCTCAGGGGCAGGAGTGCAGAGTGCAAAAGAGGGATGGAGAGCTCCCTACGCTTTCAGGGGGCACAGGCCACAGCCCAGGTAGAGGCTCGGAGGCAGACAGTGAAAGGTGAGGGCACTTGGACATGTGCCCAGAGTGCCAGGTCCTGGCGGGTGTCTGGGGACACCAGACACAGACCCAGCCTCGGCAGGCCAGGGAAGCCCCTGCCGGAGGTGGAGAAGGTAGACCGGGGTGCTCTTCCCTTCTGTCTGGCCTGGGCTCTGGGGGGCCGCGCAGAGGCCAGGCAGGTGTGGGGGGTGCCCTGAGCCCAGATGCTGCCCTCCTGCCTGGGGCCCAGCTTCCACCCTTTCTCCTATTTGCATCCCTCTGATAGTTGGGAATGGGAGGCAGGAAAAAAGAGAGAGAAGAGGAAGAACAGTATTTTCATTTCCAACACAGATAGGGGTGAGGGAGGCGGAAGGAATCTGGTTTATGATACCTTCGAGACAAGCACAGAAAATCCCCACTGCGGCCCGAAATAGCATGAAAAACAGACGTTTTGCCAAATCAGACTTATCTGAGTGGCTCTCTCCTTGAGTCCGGCAGGATGTGGACGGAGCTGGCACTGTTCCCTTGGGATGACACCGTCCCCTGGGGCC